CCCCCCCCCCCCCCCCCCCCCCCCTCCGAAATTTCCGTTGATCCGAAGGATTTCAGTGACGCGTTAACACACGCACGCGTGTTTTTGCAACAATGTATCGAGTGGTGTCTGAACTTGGTGACTAGTTTTCCCCCAGTGTCTACAAAACGTGTTTGTGCTCAACCTGAGGAAGTGGAACCGCAACTTCACGGAAGGTAGGAATCCCCATTATTCTTGCTTCATAACTCTTCAGCGATGAGTTACCAAGTGATGCAGTTTAAAATTGCGAACTGATGCAGTTTAAAATTGCTGAATTATAGTTATCGATGACTGCGTTAATTTCAAATCGACGAATTCGAAGGATCATTCTTTCGTTTTATCATGAAATCCTCGCGAAGGATCTTTGAGGTTAGGCGGAGGAATCCTGCGCTTGGGAGAGTCCTCCAGCGGGATGCGTCCTTCCAGCCTCCGGGGCCCGTACTCCCTCGCATTTTTTCATCTCTCTCTCTGTCTCGCTTCGTTCGTCGTCCTTCTCGCGCCCTCTACCCCCTGTCCTTGTTTTGTTCGTACAGGTATGCCCTTCCTCTCTTTCCCAGTGACGTGCAACAGGTCGTCCCCCCTCCCTTTGCCCAATCGGTGAAACCTGAGACGCTCCACCGAATTCCGACAATTCCAACGCAAATTCATCTTTTTTCTTTTGCGCTCGATAAGACTTTTCTTCGTTTGAAAAAGTTTGGTGTTTTATTTTGCTCGATGGTTTGGATTATTGAGGGGTTTTTTGCTTAGTTGGGAGACCCCTTGACCTCTGCGTCGTTAATGCAAACTTTCTCGTCTGTGCATGAGGGTCTCGGTGAAATTCCACGATTCCTCAACGCTTTTGCAGTTGCGATGCGCCTTTTTGGTTTAATTAATTAGTTGATGGGATGAGCTCAGGGTTTTCACTTTGTGGGGAATTGTGACGGCGATTAGGTCTGTGGACTGTGGTCACGTGCGAGAGAAAAAGCACGTGGACGGGTGAGGGATATCCCGCTTTCTTCGGAAATGATGTTTCAGGTGTATAAATGAATGATAACAGTTTTTTATTCGTAATTAGAGATCTAGGAAGTTGTTGGGAGGAAATTGCGACCTGGTATTCGGTTCTTCAGCAGTTGACCGGGATTTTTGTTCAAGTGGTGGATGGGATTTTCAGGAGAGACGACGAGATGATGAAGGGAAACTTCGAGGTTCAGGTGGAAGTTCAAGGGAATTCGAATAGTTTTTAGGGAAAGGGAATCTAATCCAATCTTTCTCTGCCGATTTCTATTGAGAATTATGTAATTTTTCCGGGCAATTCTTCGATAGAAATTTGGTGAAAATAGTCTACAGATGGGGATTTTAATATAAATTTATTCTGAATTTTGTGAATACCTCTCAAGAATTTTGTTTCATTACTTTATGTAAATTTTTGATGTTTTTCTCACTGCAGTGACACCTGAGTGGGAATGACTCAGCTGGAGAAATACGGCATTGAAAAAATAAATACTTCTCTCAAGTAAACGGATATTTGGCAAAAATAATTGTTTTTCTCAGTGTGTATTCTGTTTTATTTGTCATTACAAAATTTAAGAAAAGGAACTCTGAAAATACATGCTTAAGAATTACAACAGAATTCTGACATTATTCTAATATTCGCCACAGAATTTCCTAGTGAAAAGACTATACTGTTAACATTTTGTATGAATTTTCTGGTCTTTTCTTTGGAAATTGTCCATATTTAGCAAAAACGATTTTTTTCCAGTGAATTCACCTTCCATTATTTGTTTTTTTTTCAAATTTGAGATTTTCATACGTACAATAATTTTGAATAATTCCAAAAGTTAATAATTGTCAATGGAGTTCATTCGAAGTCGTATGTAGCACAATCACCTCATAATTCAACATAATTGTAATATTTGAAGATGGACTTGGACCATCTGACTGACTCGTCTGGAGAAATCCGCTTCTAAAGAAATGAATTCTTCTCCCAAGAAAATCATTCCTTGGTAAAAGTATGTTTTTTCTCAGTGCCGATGATCAGAAATGGTATCGCCGGCGTTTTTCCTCAATAATAAAATAACATAACGAACACAACTGACACTGTTCTGTTCCTTAATGTAGAGCAGACCGACTCGAATGGCAGATGTAACTGTGTCAAGTACGCCGGCGCAACAAGTTTTTGCATAACCAGGTGATCACTCGGTTTGTATGTCTAGTTATCGATGACTTACATCAACAAATTGAAGCGACAAGTGTAAATGTATCGTCTTCCAGGAAGCATCACTATTATTCTGGGTTACATCAACATGTGGTTGTAGATTATCCTTGGTACAACCTTCACGATTTCAAAAAAATGTTTCTTGTTATGATGACAATCCTTTACAGTAATTTACATTTCACATCGACAATGATTAATCGGCTATTCTTATTGTGTTCCGGCTGCAAGGCTAATCCATTTTTGGCTTTTGTGTACACGCGCCGCATATTTATCAGTTCTGCGAGGTACTGCCTTTTTTTTTTTCATCGTTATTTTAGATCGCTTCGACCCAGTTAGGGTATACCCTATACTGCGATGATGATCAAGACTTTTAAAATGGTTAGATCGCAGCATTCTACCCGGTCGGGATTTGAACTCGGAACCTTTCGCACGTGAGGCAACGAACTTACCCATTGCGCCAAGCCACCGGGCAACGAGGTACTTCCGTTGTCATCACAATACATTTTTTTTATTTTGTTTTGAAGTCGAAATGTTGGAGATACAAAATTCACTTTTTGCGGTCGCTGGCACGTACGATGCAGTCATCACATTATGCAGGAAAAACAAGTCATTTTTTGTTCAAGTATATTTTTCCATTGTAAATTTTCATAGTATACTGAGAAGAATTTTTTTCCCTTATCTTCATCAAGTTATTTTCAAAATAAAGATACACGGAGAGAAAAGTTGGATAAAAATTGCCTCAAAAATCGTGACAAACTTGACTATACGAATGGTAATCGTGGAGCGAAATGTAATTCAGTGAAAAATCCAGGTTTTTAGTGGATATCTTATGATTTTTTCGGTAAAAAAATACATTTGTGGATGCAAAAATTATCCTCCTGTTGAGTAAAATTTCTCACACCGGCAGGGGGTTGTTTGGTTGTAACCAAATGGGTTCGGTAAAAATCATTCTCCGTTAGAGAAAAATTATATGAAAAATTGGAGCAATTATTAACGTTCACTGGGATAATTTTTGATGGGATACAGTGTAAATTTTACAGTTTCGGTGCAAATCACCCTCACGTTTAGTGAATTTTCCCGGGACAACGGAATAAACTTCACTATTCTCACTAATAGTTGAATTAATTCACTACTCTTCACTAATCTCGCACTTTTACTCTTATTTAAGGTAAAAAAAAGTACTGGAAATCGAGGTTGCTCTACAATTACTTGACTTGTTTGGTAATTTTTCTGCAACTTTTTTTTCCGTATATGCCCTGCAATTTTTGAATATATAAATTATTTAAATAGATTGTTTAGACTTAAAGAAGCTCAATACGTCAGAAATTTCAAAATTTTATCATTCCGTTTATTCAATCGATACAAATCACCAAAAACTTTCACAGAAAAGGGCTAATGACGTCACATCTCAGCACACTTCGTAGTTGAGAAATCGCCAATCGTGAATTGATCAATCGCTTTTCTCACTGATTCATTTTCTCAAAACATAAATTTGATGAAAGATGGCGTCGATGGACCGGAGCTGTGACGTCATTCAAGGTCATATAAGTGTTCTGGAATTATCACTTTCAATCAGTTTTTTTACTTACAAAAAAAGGAATAAGTTTTACTCTGAATGTACATAATTCAATACGAGCAATCGAATGAGAGAAGACCACCACTTCATAAAATATAGCTACTAATAGCACGATTGATAACAATTATCAGTAATTACAGACATCAATAGTACCACCAACTGAAGTGCAGGAAAAGGCGAGTATCATTACCCCACACAAATGGCAATCCGTTGTTCATCACCAGATAAAAGACATCTCCTTTTAAAGATTCAAAGCCCAACGAGCGTGTGACATCGATTACTTCCGCCGGATGTATTTTAACCCGTTTGTACTGTTAGAACTGCCTTGTGTACATTTTCTCAATAGCCATCATCAACATGTACCTCACATTCGTCCCCCCGAATGACAAAGTGCAACTCATCAATTTTCATTCATTCACGCGGAAGCAAATCCAAGTTTGAAGGCTGAATATTTACGGCCACGTCTTGGTTTCACTGCAGTCACCCTCGTACTCCAAACTGATGGGGCAAAATTCGTCCTCAGTCACTCTATCAAGATTTCCAATATCCGCTTTTGGCTTGAAGCCCAGTTTAGAAACAAGAATACCTTCCGGCGGTTGTTCTTCATACTCAAACTCGGTAAAGTCATACTCATCAATGTCCATTTTCATCTTGACCTCTTCAAAGTCTTCCTCAGTCAGCGTTATTGTTTTGACTTTTTTCCTTTTACTCTTCGGCGGTTCCTGACTATGCACTACTATTTTTTTCCTCACCCTTGTTGTCTTCTCACGCTTCGTGTCTGCAGGTGTCTCGGTCCTCTTATCAGTTTCCCCTTTTGTTCCCTCTCTGATTGTGAGATTATCTACAGGTGAAATGTTTGACATGTTTTCCTTTTCTGCTGCTTGATTCGTTTGCCTCGCGTACACTCCTGCTGGTGAACTGTTATCCTCCCGGAGTACCTCTACCTTATCAACCAGACATGTATCAAGTTGACAAGAAGCCAGAAACTCTCGGGGAGCAACTTCCACTTTCTCTCGCTTCTGTCCCGCCATGTCCGCCTTCATTCCGGGGTTTTTCTCAAATTCCTCTTTCAAGTATTTGTCGAATTTATTCTTGAAGTAGCCGTCGATCATCTTCCATACGCTGGTACTGTACCAACTGAGCACAGCTATCAGCACAATACCGCGCAGTGCGAAAGCAAGCATCTCAATACCTGTATCACTCACTCTATTCTATTTGCTTTTCGTTTTTCCCCCCGAGTAGTTGAATAACCAGAACCTTTTCCGTTTGCCTTCTGTTACGTCTTCGAATAACGCGATTACTTCACCGAGTGCTTCGAAAATCAATAGTCGTTTCTGCTCCCTCTCCTCACCAATTCTATCAGAAGCGAAGAGGTAAACTTAATATCGAGGGTAAACACTTTTTAATCGTCTCTCTGGCGCCTTCAATTTCAGTCACATAAATTCGATATTTTTATTTTTGGGATTGGTTCTATAATTGAGAGACTAATCCTCCTCCTCTCCCATTATGTACTCCTTGATGATGGTGTATGTCTGTTGCATATTCGGCCAGGCTATTGTTATGAAGACGAGGAGAGAATTGGCTATTACGAAGAGCCTCATCATTTCTATGCCATCCACCGATCTCAACCAATCACTGAAGCCCTGATTATGGCCATCATCATCATTAATATCCTCCACCTTCTTCTTCTCCTTTGTCTCCAACTCCTGCTTATCCTGTCTCCCCTTTTTCTTCATCCTGTCATGATACTCTGGAACATAATTGATACTTTGTTAGGTACAAGTGGTCCTTGGATTTCCAATATCTCCAAGTTGATCAAGGTTATATCACTTTAAAGTCCGAGAACATTCGATTTCAATCGTGGGATGACCCTTTCGATCCTTTCGATGACCTATATTTACCAGAAAAGTCAATGCCGGGGAGCTCTCGTTAACAAATATTGGTGAAAATGTCAAATTACAGATTACAGGGAATGTAATCATGTAATTTCAGCGATTACAAAGACCCTTTAATTAAACCAGAGTGTGAATATCCCCTCCGATCTCAGCGCTTTATGGAAACTTTGATCAACAATTTTTCTAGCGGACCAAAGAAAAATGTGGTAGCATCGAATCTCTCAGGGAATCGGTGCGACAGGAGGATGTGGGTGGGTCGAAAGGGTCTGGAAATGGAGGGCGTTATCACGAGAGAACAGACACTCGAGAGCTTCCCCATTCTATCTGCCACTATCCAACTTTGTCCTTCATTATTTGAACTCGCGTGACGTACAAACTAGGTTCAAACCGCCTAAACTAGGTGCACCACTGACACTGTCGGTTCAACCAAAGCCACAGGTTACGAATTAGAATGTCCGTTCTCTCTAATACATGCAGGATATACTCACATTGTGGTTGAATCCTGGGTTTTAAATTATAGTGTGACAACATGCTGAAGGGAATGGAACTCACCTCGCTGTTGGCTTGAAGCTATTTTACGACTGCTCTGAATGTTTTGCTAGTCGCGGTGGTGTGTCGTTGGATTCTTGCACCCAGGGGCTTCCGGCTAGGACACATAAGCTTATTACAGATTACCCAGTAGTGCAGAACTGTTGTCGATGGAGTTTCTAGGTTTTTTTTTGGCTCCAGAACCCGAGTGGGAACTCAAATCAGGTGGAATAAGAGACTGATCAGTAAAAACCGACTTCGATCAGATTTGGATAAGAAATGTAATGCTTTTTTGGATTCATGCCTGGTCAAAATTCTAGGATCCGATCTTTGTGATCAGTACCGGATCCGATACGGATCTAGTTCAGATTCGACTGATCAGAATAGGATTACAATTCACTCTGCTACGTTGGATTCCGATACTCCATTCAGAATCTCATCAGATCCTGATTCAAAAGTCTAATCAAGAAATTCTGACCAGTATTGAACCTACAACTGATTTAGACCCAACCTGACTGAGCGGAATTTCCACTCGGGAATATCCAAATGAAACGTCCGTTGCGGTGGTAAAAAGTTCACGGTTGGCACACTGAGCGAAATTTCAATGGTAATTTCAACTAATAGTTACGGTAACAATAAACATTGTAGATTCAACTATTACCTTAAAGTGAGAATTACATCATAACGTTGATGACACTATCTGACATAGTAAATCGAACGATGAATCCTAGTTTAATCTACAAAGTTCATTGTTACTGTAAATATAATTTCTTTGACAATTCCCTTGTAGTTAAAATTACCATTGAAATATCTCTCAGTGCAACGTTTTTGGTGACTAAGTGAAACGAGCTGAGACACAACGGTGAAGTAGTGAGCGTCAAGACAAATGAACTTTTGCTTCACCTCATCGATTCAACGTTTTTTTTAATTGTCCCACAATTGGATATTTTTATTTTCGGAATTGGTTCTACGATTGAGAGATCACTCTTCCTCTTCTCCCATTGTGTATTCTATTATGATGGTGTATGCTTACTGCATATTGGATAGGGCGACTGATATAAAGTCGAGAGAACTGGCTATTGCGAAAAGCCTAATCATTACTAGGCCATCCACCGATCTCAACCAATAACTTGAAACCCTTTGACCTATCTCCCTTCTTCTCCATCCTGTCATGACACCCTGGAACGCTATTGATATCGACACTTTCATAACAGACTAGGGGCTACGCCCCCTGCCCGCTCCGCTCGGCAACCTTCATGTAATCATCCTTATTCTGATCCTTGTGACCCTTAATCTGACCCTTGTAGCCCTTATTCAGAAACTCGTGACCTTTATTCTGACCGTCATGACCTTCATTCTGAACCTCGTGATCCTTATTTTGACCCTTATGACCCTCATGACCATTATTTTGACCCTCGTGACGTGATCGTAAGGGCCACAAGGGTCAAAATACCCTTATTGTGACCCTTGTGACCCTTAATTTTGGAATCTTAATTTCGAGTACCAAACTTTTATCACCACATGTCGATTTGGATTTTAATAATATTATGACCCTCAATTATGACCCTCATTCTGACCCTCGTGGCCATTATTTTGACCCTCGTGACCTTTATTTTGACCCTTATGATCCTTAATTGTGGAGTCTTAATTTCGAGTACTAAAATTTTATCACCACATGTCGATTTGGATTCTTATAATATAGAGAGATAAGCGTAAGTGCTGAGTTCCCTATGTAGACACGCTTGTCTGTTATTGGGGTATCGATATTTTCTCAGATACGAGTGGTCCTTTGAACTTCAATGTCTCTAGTTTGATCAAGCTCATTTCACTGTAAAGTTCAAGGACATTAGATTCGGTCTCAACTAAAGGTCGGCAACGTTTTTAGTGACGAAGTGGGTGGAGCTAAGACAGAACGTTGAGAAAGTGGGGACTACAATGAAAGAAATTTTGCTTCGTAAAATGACGTGAGTCGTTTCCCTAAATGATCGTCATTGATCGATGATCAATTCCAGGTGTGGCACCACCTCTTCTTCATTAAAGGCATCCTTGTGTAACTGGATTTCCAGTCTGTCAATCTGCCGATGCAAATGGGGAACGCCTTGCGGTTGGAAGACTGAGATTGCACGTGGTGTTCTAATGCAACGTAAGGTACTGCGGGACGTTCAAGATGGGTTTCGGGCGAAGCGCCTCGAGGTGTATTAGATCCTACAGTGTATGCTAGGGAGAGACCAGAGTAAGCCGGATCACTTGCTTACCTGGTGGATTTGGAGTGTTGGTTGACTTTGGAGGTCAGGGTATTACCCGGATATTCAAAACTATGAAGGAAGTTTGGAGGGCCAACTGGTGAAGTGATGATTCTGCTTGTGATCTTAGCATTGTTTGACTTTTTGTTCATTACCAATACTCTATCCATTATTAATGTACATATGTTGCTCGGCTTTTAACATCAATCTTTTGAAACCAATGAAGTGTAGTCATTCTATGACACTTCTCTTTTTGATTTGGTGACTTACAATGAATTTTGAATTAACGTCAGTCATTTGAATAATTGAATAACGTACATTCAAATCTCTTCACAGTAGGGATGCGCACGAGACCCAGACAAGACTTCAGTGAGATCACACTCAAAAAAGAGATCGGAGATCTGCCTACAAAACAGTGATTGAATGATCGCTAAATTTGGGAAAAAGGTGAGAAATCAAGGAGCCCTATAAGCCTATGTGTTCGAATGTCAATAAATATTTAAAAAAAACAATAATAACAATACTCGGAAATATCTAGTCTTCTTACCAGGATGCCTCCAGGGCCCCTTGATTTCTCACCTTTTTGACGTGGATACGTCTATGGTTTCAATGTGGAGGGTCATTTTGGGAAACGTTCCTTATGTGCAGCGCCATCTATCGGAATTCTAGAAAATTCTAAACATTTCGAGGTAATTCGAGAAGTTTCTTGAAATTTGGAAAGAATTCAAGGAGTTTCTAGAAAATTCCAGGGAATTCAAGGAGTTTCTAGAAAATTCGAGAAAATTCAAAAAGTTTCTACACATCCTAGAATGTCTAAGTGTCAAAGATACAGCGGCCTGCAATTTTTCTAAATTTAGCGATCACTCGACCAGATCTACGATCTGTTTTTTTTTTCATGTCAACTTCCTCGATTTATGAGACCTACAATGACTTTCAAACTTACAATCAGTCATCTCTTATCCTGAAATTAATTTCTGCTCTGGATTACTTCACAAATGAACAACGTACATTCAAATCTGCTGCAAAACAGAAACTCCACAAGAGCCCCGCAGATTTACTAAAAAAAATTCTGAAAAGACGTGTAAACCTTAACTACTGCTCCGTACCTTTCACCCTGAGAAAAAAAAATACTTTTGCCAAGGAATCATTTTCTTGGGAGAAGAATTCATTTTTTGCAGAGCGTATTTCTCCAGGCCAGTCATTATCAAGGAGTCCAAGTTCATTTATAAATATTACAATTATGTTCAATTATGGAATGATTATATTACATATGACTTTGAATGAACTCCATTGATAATTATTAACTTTTAAAATTATTTCAAATTATTATACGTTAGAAAACCTCGAATTTGAAAAAATTGAAAAATAATGAAGCGTGTTCAGTCAAGGTCATATGTAGCATAATCATCTCATTATTCAACATAATTGTAATATTTGGAGATGGACATGGACCACCTGGGAATGACTGGCCTAGAGAAATAAGCTCCTAAAAAAATAAATTCTTCTCCCAAGAAAATGATTCCTTGGCAAAAGTAATTTTTTTTCCCAGTGCAGTTCTAGACCCATTCAGAACCCTTTCAAACCCCGAAAATCTCTCGCAACTCCACGACACCACCACTCACTCCTGATCGCCGAATCCCCCGTAACCGACGAATAATTCTCAACTCACCCGGCGAAGAATCTCCCGCATATTTTTCACCCAGAATATCTCGACTCCTTGGAAAAGACACTTGTCACATGCATTCAATAAAACTCCCCCGTCACTGAATACATAAATTCATCCCGCCCCATTCACCATTCCCCTCAGATCCAGGGAAGAAATGGAGGATTCCAGATTTACCAATACCTTTCCCTATCCCCTCAGTTAGTTTTGAATAAACTCCACCCGATGTAGGCCATATTCCGACGCATCACAGCCGAGTTACTTAAGTGAACCTCACATACCCTTTCTATCCACCTCCCCCTTCATTTTCCCACTGCCTGGAGCAGACGATCTCTGCACTGTGTTTAGGAATATATCATCCAAGTTTGTATACGGATTTTGCGTGGGTGAGAGCGGAGTCTATCGAGGGGATGAGCATCCTACCATGCCTCCGTACTCGAAATATTCTCGTATGATGAAATTTAATTCACCCTTGAATGCGTATTGGAAAGAGATTTACCCGACATTCAGGGCTTATATAGGTACTCCCGGAAAAGGGTAAAAATAAGATGGGAAAAATCGGGAGAATGACGTTACATTGAAATTGTCGATTTCCGGAGGGTCATATTTTTGCCGAAAATTGTCCTCATCAATTAATGATAAATTCTGCGAACTCATTTGGGAATGTAATTTCATCGCTAACGAAGGTTTTTACGACCGGCAGAGGTCTGTGAAAGAAATATTATGTTTCGAGCGGTTCATTGAATTCGTGTTAATGTTGGGAATTAATTTAAATGTGTTGCAACGTGGAAATAATGAGCACTGCCACGCGGGAGAGTCGGTACATATTATATGGTATTGTTGAGATGAATGGAGGAATTGGAGGTATGCAGGTGAGGGATCGATAATTAATTTTCGTGAGTTAATTGGATGTTGATGATTGTGGAGGTGGAGATGTTGCGACGTTCAAATTCTTTGATTATTGGGGTAATTGAATGGTTGGAGGTCATGGGGACAACTGTCCGGGAATTTCTGTAGGGGAGATATCTAGACAGTCGGTGGCAAGGCAAAATTGAAAACAAATGGGAAATTCCTATTATATCAGTGTCGTATAGTTTTTGCTAATCAATTAACAATATGTTAATTGATAGGGGGGCTCGTCACAAAGAACAACGTCCTTGGGTTGGGTTGGTTGGGGTTTAAACTAATATTTTTCACTACACGGAGAAAAAAATTCCAGAATTTTTCAGGCGAAATTCAGGCAAAAATTACCGTGCCGTCTGGTAAAGTGGGTTCAATTGTCTAGCACCAGAAAAATTCCGGTGCTGCATAGTAAAAATTCCGGTAACGCACAATAAAAGCTTGATCCCTGACTGTTTTCTATTACATGATAAATTTCATTCAATAGTTAAAAATGAGTAAACATTGTCATTCAGCATATCATCCTATTAATTTTATTTTAACCTCTCCTCCATATCCTCTCTCCCATATTAAAAGCGGAATGCGCGGCAAACGTATGTGGAACGTTTGACAGGCCAATGTATATCTACAGCGTTATACACCTCATGAAGCGAAAATAAAGGGCACTTATTTTATTTCTTAACCGTTTTATCACAACACTAATTAATATTTCACTGAATTGATATTATGAAAAACATTAACCTGGGGTTTCAGTAAGGAGATATGTGAGAGAGGAGGCTAGAGGAGGCGACGGAATAAATCATCTGGTCACGTTGAGTCGATGTTCGTGGTTGCGGAGGGGGGACGAAGAGTACCGAAATCTTACGAATGCGCGATCGGGTCCTAGGATTCTGGTAGAGCACCGGAAAAATTTGCCAGTCAGTGTCATAATTTTTCTCGTATTTCTCGTAAAAATTCACTGTCGCTTCGATTTTACCGTGCTGCACAAGAATTTTTCCCCACATTTATCCGAAAAATGACTCGTGCAACAGTACTTTTTCCTACTCTTTGCGGTACATTTGGCCTGGAAAGACCATCTGAACCAACTTTACTGTGCGGGCACGGTAATTTTTCTCGTACATTTCTCTCCGTGTATCATTGAATGAATTTAGAACATAATAACCAAAGATATCCTCGGAATTGTAATTTTTATAAAATACAAAATGTTTGAAAATTATTCTAAATATCAAAACATCAACTACAGCTATCGCCTTCATCTTAAATATAAGTAAATAATTTTTTAAAGCAATCATTGAATAAATTCAGAACATTTTTCTAGTTACGGTGGGACAACCGATTTTTACAAAAATTCAAAATGTAATATATGGATTAAATGTTAATTAAAGTCGACGGATAGGGCTCAACAATACTTACATTGAATACGAAAGATTCAATTCCGTCGTCAATTCATGAGCGAACCATTGAAATCTATATAATTGTTTCCCTCGAATAGAGGTTCGGAAAGCTGAAAGATTGCGTATAGTATCCTGCTTTCCATGTAATTTATAGGC